AAACAAGTGGAAATAAGGGCTGTCTTTCTTGGAGAGGGCTAGAATTCCTGATGCCTCCTCAGTGCTTAGATGGCTTGAGGCTAGGATTGCCCACTGCACCCTCTCCCTGCCTCTACTCAACATTAGGTGGGAAGCCGTGCTGGAGGGGAAAGAAATTTGCTTCTCTCCCCTTATCTTCCTGCTTCCCCACGTCCCTGCCCTTCCTGCACTAGCAGGTCAGACCTACTGCAAGGACAGTGTAGCAACTACATCTAACAGAAAGGCAGATACACACCTCCTGGTGTTTACCCCTGAGCCACTTTATTTTTCCTTTAAAACATAATTCTACACAATTCTTGTCTTTTGATCTATGTTAGGAGGATAAGGCAGTGGCAATATCATGGATTTGAGATCCAGACTATTCTGGATTTTAATCAAACTCTTGTAATTGCTAGGTTTGTAGTGCTGGGAAAATGGGCGTTGGTGAACTTCAGTATATCATCTGAAAAATCCGGATTATAATTTACTACTTTCCTTATGAATGGTAGTCGATAAAGAAGATGCTGCTTGATTGGATGAAAATTAAGGTCGAAGAAAGTTCCTACCCATGCACAGCACATTCATCCTCTAGTTTAGGACAGCAGCTCAGTTTACAATTACTTTATGCTTATCATGGGTCCTCAGTTGCAGAGTCTCTCTCAAAAACTTAGGACAAATTCCCAGCAGCTTTTGCCTGGTCTGCTCCTGGGTGGCACTGAAGGTGTTTTTATCACAAAGCATATCTCATCTCAGCTATTCTTCCACCTTAAGATGATCTCTTAGGTTTCTGGGGCTCTGCAGGCTGGAGATCCCCGTTCATTTCCCCACTTTGCTAAATAGACTAACCTGGTGCTCTGGAGCAGACCTTTAGTCTCAACTGTCCTCTTCGCCTGTTCTCAGGGTGGAGGATTCACCTTACGACAATGGAACTCCTGGGTAGCCTTCCCTGCCCTCTCAGACTTCCAAGTGGATATGCACATGAGGCCCTCACTGTGATCGCTGCCATGCTTGGAACCAAAATATCTCCAAGTTTTCCAGCCTTCTGTTTACTTCTTCTAATGTGCAAACAACCATAACCCAAGCTCCGACCCTGTGTGACTGCAAGAAGTCCAGTCCTTTCCTAAATCTTTCTGGGAATCCCTGAGAAGTGCATATAGGTTCCAAAAATCTTATTCTTGGTTGCCATTTTGTTTTCCCTAGCTCTGTGTCACTGCTCTAGGATTCATTCCCCATGTCTTGAGAATTCTTCGTGCTGGCAGATCTTTCCGGTCTTCTTTCCCCCAGACTTTACCAAAGACCCTTCTTTTTAAGTGCTCTAAAGCACTGGAAATATAAGCTCCTTGTGTTTAAGAGACTTTACAAAGAAATAGGAGTATTAGAAGGGAATTTGAACACTGATCAAGAGAATAAAAATTTAGTGTTAGATATCGTTGCTGAGAGTCCGTTAACCATCCCCCTTGTAGGGAACAGTATGGTTCTTAGCAAACCCTAGCCATACTAACCCTAGCCATAGAAAACATTGGTGAGGTTTACACTCTTCCCCTGGACCAGGGTCTATCTTTGGTGTCCTCTCACCCCACGTTTAAGACACCTACACCCATGGCACAGTCCCTGCCAAAGAGAGCAAAAATTTAGAGGGGGATACTCAGGAACACATGGCTCCAGCAACTTTCTCTTTTCTCTCCTGCGTCATTGCTTTTTCTATCCCTTTTGTATCATTCCCATCAATATGTAAACGGACAGTATTGTCCCATACCTTAAAAAACAAAAAAGAAAAGTTCCCTTAGTACTAGATTGCCTCTCCATTGCTCTGCATGCTCTGCACAGCAAAACTTGAAAGTTACATCTACATTCTGTCCAGATTTGCTGGCTTCTCTTCCTCTTCTCCTCTTCTTCCTTGAGCCTACTACTCTATTCAATCTTCTGTCTTAAATCGTCCACTGACTCAGCTCTTGTCAAGGTCCCCAATGAAATCCACATGGCCAAATCTCAGTCTCATCGTATGCATTTGACACACAGACACTCAGTCCATCTGTAGCATTTGATACACTGACGTTCTCTACCTCTTGAGACACTTCCTTCTCTAGGCTCTGGGCCACCCCATCTTTGGTTTCCCTCCTTACTTACTAGCAGCTCCTTCTCCTTTGCTGGTTCCTGAACCTTCGACATCAGCGTGTCCAGGGCTCGTCTAGTGATCCTCTTCTCTGTCTATACTCATTCCATAGTAACTTCATCCACTCTGCTGGCTTTAAATAACATTTATACACTGAATAGAAATATCTATTAAGCAAATCAAGTTAACACTTACTAAAACCAATTTCTGATAGACCCCTAAGCTTGCTCTTTCCTCAATCTGGTAACTTTCCTGCCCTTTAACTTAAAACAGCTTTATTTGGTTTTGTAGAAAATTCTTTCATTTTTATTTGGATATTGGAACCCTACATTTATATCATAGAATTTGGGAGCTGAAAAGAACAATAGAGATTAAATAGTTTAATATCCTTGTTTTAGGATAATAAATAAGGAAATTGAAACTCAGAGAATTTATGTCCAAAGTCACCCAGACGAAGTGATGATTTTTTAAAAATTGAATTTACTTATTTAATCTACTTAGATAATACAGTATTTGAGGCATTTTTTTTGAAAAGGACTCACAATAAAATAATGATAAACTATAAATAAAAACTTTGAAAGTAGAAGCTAGAGAAAATATACATGAAAGTAGAAAATTTGGACCCTAGTAAACAATACAATCAATATTATTTTAAATTTTGGAGTGTCAGAAAACAGGCTCATTAGTTAGAAGACCATTTCAGACATGTTCAGAGCAATGGAGATTCTGATCTGGCCCCAAACTCAGAGGTGCACTAGCTTCTGGGATATGGGCTTATTTATTAATTTATTCTTAGTAGTAATTAGTCTTCCACATAAAACACTGCCAAACATTCACGTTTGAAGTTTATTAGATACTTACAATAGGCTGGAGCTGTTTGGCATTGCTAAGTAAAAATATAATTTTTGACTTGTTGCTTAGGCAACTGCTCCTTTACACTAGTGTATTTGAGATGATTAATGATTTGAGACCTGCCCGTAGACATAGGGCACTGCATTATAAATCACATCTTATTTTCCTTCATAGGGAATGGAATGATGTTCATTTTTTGGACATGATTTATCATTTGCACGTTGTGTCTACTATCCATGTGTGCTAGGAAAATGGATGTATTGTCTTATTAAAAATTCTTCACCTTTTGCTATTATATTCTCTGCATAGCCAGAGAAAAACCATGCGCAGGAACGAATTTGCATCCCAGTATTAAGGAGTATTGAATTACCGATGAAAAGAAAGGTTGCAAATGAGTCCCTTTGTTATCAGATAAGCAAAATACATGCCAACATCTGGACTTTTCAAACCATTTCACACAGGTATCATTTGATCAGTTACTTTTTTTAAGGACACCTGCTTACTATTTAGATATACCATGTCTTCTCTCAGAAGCCTGGGGAGTAATATAGGTGTTATGCCTTGAGATAAAAAGTTCTGTTTTCTTTTGATGCAATTCCCTCCAGCTCTCAGTGATATGTAGTCTCAAAGTTAAAGCAGTTGCTACTATTTTATGAAATGCCACTCTCACTGCCTGATATGTTTCTCTGTTCCCAGCCTGCCATTGTGAGAGCTGGTCACCAGGGCCATTGTCACTGTCTGGTGACAATGGTGGGTTATCTACTATAACCCTAATAGCATTACTTAGATGAGGTTGTAAGGAAATTTAATCAAACATCAAGAACAAATAGTGTTCAGGGCTTTAGGACCAGACTTGCATTACAATCCTGTCACTGCCAGTTACTGTCTGTGTGTCTTTGGACAATTTACCTCTATGAGTTGCAAATTCCTTATATGCACAGTGGGGATTAAAAAACGCATCTCATCAGGTTCTCCTGAGGGTTGAATGAGCAGTGGTGTAAAGAGAAGCTTTCATAATTGGTAGTTATTGCTGATATTACACATGAGGCTAGGGAAAATATGTTAATCTATCCAAATCTCAGACTTCTCACTTGTCAAGTGGGGAATAATAATATTCTTGCTGAATTTCTCTGGGTCTTTTTTAAAAAATTATTTTATTGAGGTCATATTGGCTTATAACATTGTGTAAATTTCAGGTGAACAGTATTATGTATCAGTTTCTGTATAGACTGCATCGTGTTCACCACTTAGTTTTTATCTGTCACCATACACACGTGCCCCTTTACCCCCTTCCCTTCTGGTAACCTGGTAACCTTCTGTGTTTGTTTATCTTCCACCTATGAGTGAAATCATATGGCGTTTGTCTTTCTCAGTCTGGCTTATTTCTTATCACCGCATCTGGATGTAATAGGTGATCAGTCATTTTACTGCTCCTGCCAAGCTGAATCTACAATATTTCTTTGGCCTTTTGTTGTTTAAATGTCACTGTCACTTAATATTTACTTAGTAAACATAGTTTGAGGGGATTGCTCAGAGTGGTATTCTGGGCACGCAATCAGGCAGTGCAACATACAGTTAAGAGCACAGATGACCTAGGTTCTAATCCCTGCTCTGCCACTTACTGGCCATGTGACCTTTAGCAAATTATACGACCCCTTTGTGCCTCAGATTCCTTATCCATCAAGAGGGGATGCTATAGTGCCTATCTGGTCAGATCAGTGTGAAAATTGAATGAATGAATATATAAAATGCACTCAAGTAGCATCTGACAAACAGTAAATGCTAAATAAATATTCTCTATCACTATTCCCTGAAAGAACGTCCAAAAAACAACTTTTCAAATTTATACACACACATGCAGGCAGGCGTGTACACACATTTGCATTCCTTCACTCATTCGCATGTAAATATATCTACCTTGGTAGCCCAGGCTAAACAAGAACACGCAACAGTTTACCCACTATTAAATTGAGAAATTAGCTAAGAACTATGTGCAAAGTGGATTCTAATAAGGTAAATTATTTTTCCTTATTATAGGGAGGATGAGGATTACATTGAAGACACACCAATTTATGGTAACTTAGATACCATGGTCTCAGGTAAGTTGTATTTTTCCAGAAATTAAATTTATCTATAAATTTATTCCCTCCACTTAATTCCACAAAGAATTTGAGGTGGCTTATTTTTGGTCACAGTCTCATTTAAATATCCCAATGGTAACCATAAATTCAAGTCTCTTTAGCATATTGTTTAGCTTTACAAAGCTGCATGTTGTAAATTGTACTGCAACATTCGGTGTAAATCAACATCCTGTTTTTCTCTATTCTTTTCATTTCACCCTAGTAGTAATGAGAGTACAGGAAGACTCTGTTACCATGAACTTTGACACACATAGAATTCTATGAAATAAAGCTATTTCTAGAACAGAAAATGGCCCAGGGAAACAGTGCTGTGTGCTCTGTATACAAAAGCAAATCTACAGTGAATAATCTGGAACAATGAACCCGTTCCCTGGTTTCCCCTGTTTTAACTCATTCTTTTTTTGTGTGAGGAAGATCAGCCCTGTGCTAACATCTGCCAATCCTCCTTTTTTTTTTTTTTGGGATGCTGCCACAGCTTGGCTTG